GGGAGCAGGCTGGACTCTTGCTGGCCTGGCACAAACCCACAAGCTGATGGAGGCCTTCTCACGGAGTTCCAGCTGAGGTAGGCAAGGGCTGGGAGGCTAACCCAGGGCTCTTGCCCCAGTAGCAGTCAGCCCTGAGTACCTGGGAGGGAAAAATGTTGCTGCTTTCCTGGCACTGGTGCCCCCACACTCCCCCTCACACCAGCCCTGCCTTTCCTTTTTTTTTTTTTCTTTTTAAAAAATTTATTCAAATATTATTAAAATTTCTCACAGGAAGGTTAAAATTTTTTCATGTAGATCCTGCACAGTTACTGTGGAATTCACTCTTAAGGGCTTTATTTTTCATTCTTTTTTTTTTTAATAAATTAATTTTTATTGGTGTTCAATTTACCAACATACAGAATAACACCCAGTGCTCTGCCCTGGGGCAGGCTGCTTTCTCTCCTTCCTGTAGGCCATGGAGAGAGGGAGAGAGAGAGAGAGAGAGTTGGGGGATTCTCTGTCTCCACCCCAGAGCCTCTCACAGTCTGTCACCTCCCTTTGTGTCCTTTCTCCCAGCCCTACCAGCCATTAGTACTGGGCCACAATCCTCTCCTCTTACCTTGTACTTGAACTGGCCCCTCTGCAGAGGCTGCGGCTTATCAATTATTCATGGCCAAGTTTCTGTTTCTGTCTGGCAAGTGTGGAGGAGGGGTGAGGGACACAACCCTTGGCAGTTTGTCTCCTTTCTCTTTCTCCTCCTCCTCAGGGTAGAGGGTGGCCATGTTTCCACCTCCTGCCCATGCATACATTTGTATGTAATACCTGTTGTACCACTTGTTGCCACACACATGCTCATGTACCCTGCATGGGGATCAGAAGCGGTTTAGTCAAAGTGGCCCTACTATTTGAGCAGAGAAGGGAGATTGATGTCTGAATCTCCAGTGGCCTCCGCTGTGACCCACATGAATGTCTGGAAGCTTCTAGGCAGGTCATGGATCCAGTTCAGTGGCCTGAGGCTAAGGCCAGGCTGGAATGCCATCTCAGGGCGACTGAAGTGGGTAGAGTAGAACTGGAGTTCCTGTAGTGACAGCCCAGAAGACACTGACAAGCTGGGGTGTCTGAAGATTTAGAAACAGCTGTTGCCCGGAGTCCAGGAGGGCAGCCCTTTGCCCACATCCACAGGCCACATGCATTAGATACAGTGGGTATGTGGTGCATCTACCTCTTCCATAGATACTAATACCATCCAGTGCCAGCTCTTCCAGGAACTGCTGTGGGCATGGGGGAGACAGTGTAGGACAAAACACAGGGCTTCCATCTGGTGGGGGTGGGAGGGTGAGAGACAAGCAAATTAGTCAGATGGTGGAGTGTTAAGAAAAAGACAGTGAGGAAGGGGTTAAAATTTTAACTTGGTGATCAGGGGAGGCCCCCCTCCCCCAACCAGGAGGAGACTTTTGGGAAAGAACATTCCAGGGCCCTCAGAAGTGCTCAGGGAACAGACAGGAATTCAGTGTGGCTGGAGCAGGGGGGGAAGGGGAGTGAGAGGGAGGGGATGGGGGTCTGGAGGTGCTGGCAGATGGTGCAGGGCTTTGAGGAGGGATGCTGGGCTGGGTTTCTATTTTCACATCTGACCCCACCCCAGTGCTAAATGGTGGACAGGCTGTAGAGGCAGGCACTGGGGGCCAAGGAGGCTGTGGCAACTGTCCAGATGAGGACCGAGGTGGTGGGGAGAAGAGGCTGAATTCTGGGTGTGCATTTGATGGTACAGCCAGCTGAGTTGGCCATCAGGGCTCTGCTCTGCCTCTGGTGGTTTTATAGCTGGAAAAGGTATTAATATCTGGAGAAGACAGCTCCAGGCCCAGCAGAAGCCCCCAGAACAGAGTTTGGCAGAGCTGTCCGGTGAGGTCAGACCTCCTGTCTTCCCTCTTTCCCTGCCAGGACCTGTGTAGGGATCAAGGCCTGTGAAGCCGCCAGGATGGAGGATGCAACAGACACCGTGCAAGGTCTTGTTGTTGAGCTCTCCAACCTGAAGTAAGCACTGGGCTGAGATCCACAGATGGATGGGGTGGGAGGCGTGGCAGAGGGGATGGTGGGGAGGGCCCAGTGCCTGCATTTGCCTCTGTGTGTGTCCAGGCCTGGGAGTATGCATGTGTGGGAGCTTATGTGGAAGTGTGAGCAGGCACTCATGCCTGAATGTGAGGTGTGGTCCCCACTCTGGGCATCTGGTGGAGCACACACAGCAAATGTTGACACTTCTACACAGCCGGCTGATCATGAGCGCCCACCGGGACCTGGAGGCCTTCAAGCGCCTCAGCTACCGGAAGGCAAGGCTGGCAGGGAAAGGCCCAGCACCCTACACATCAAAGGGAGCTGGGAATCTCCCTCCAGAGGAGCGATCCTGGAGGGATTTGTAGATTACTTCCAGACCACCTCAGGAGCGCCTTGTGTGTGCACATGTGCACAAGCTTGCAGCGCCTGTGCGTGTTTCCTCTGCTCTGGCCCCCGGAAGTGCTGCTGCTAAACAGCTGGAAACAATCCCTTGGCAGACCCCGGAAAGCCTGCAGGGCCCTGTCTGCCCCCTGGTTTACCCTATAAGATGCTCCAGCAGGTCCTAGTGGGTCCCAGAAACCTCCCCTCAGATGACCCGGAAGTCATCTTGCCATGGGAAACATCAGAGGCCAGGCCCATATCTACAGCCTCCCTTGAGAGTCAGTAAGGGACAACGGAACTTGCTCCTCCCTGCGGCTACAGCAGAGGTCAGAGGCAGAAGGCTGGAGGCAGGCAGCAGGAGGCCGGCTGTGCCCCCCACCCTCCGGAAGCCAGCTGCTTCTGAGCAGAGCCCAGAGCCACCCAGATGTTTATCTAGATTTGCAAATCTCATTCTTTAGCTCAGGTTATAGGAGGTTCAGAATTTGTTTCTTTACTGGAGGAGAGAAGGGCTTCCTTTGTTGGTGGTACCTTTGTTTTTCTCCGGATTTCCATTTTATTTCTTTTGGTTAGACCATTAATAAATGATTCCCTAGTGTGGATCTGTGACCTGCTACTTGGGTTTGAGGTATTTTCAGTTCCTTAATGTTCTACCCACAAACCTCCCTAACCACTTCTTTCTCCTTTTACTTCTCATCCTCCCCAGGAAAGCAGGTTGGGCTACCGCAGGGCCCTGTGAATCAAGGGGTCCCCACAAGTTATTGAATGTGTCAGTATCCAGGAGTGGGTCGCTGTGTGTGTGCACACGTGTATGCATCCAAGCACAGACACCCCCGTATCTGTGGAGCAGCAAGCCCACTGAGGCATCATAGCCAATCACCCAGCTGGAGAGTTGACAGGTTTGCGCTCAGTGCTCAGATGGGCTCAGGTGACCTTACCCATCCTCCAAGGCACAAGCTGCTTCTAGGCCTTAGACCAGAAAGAGGCACTGGTGGGGGGGGGGGGGGGCGAGGGGGATTGTTACTGATAAACAGCTAGTGCCTGCAGGGTGCTGAGGGCCAGGCTTACACAACCCTGATGATGTTGTCATAAGCAGGTGCTGCTGTCAAACCCATTTTACAGAACATCATGCTTCAATTACACTGGTCACCAAAAGGTTGGCCAGACCTGAGACTTTCTTGGTCCTTTGGCCTATGACTCCTACACCCCAATTCCTAGGATCAAGTCAGAGGCCCCCTCCCACTGTCTTCTTAAACCCCGGGAAATCCCATGTTGGAGGGGGGCAAGGCAGGATCAAGTGGCCCCCACCACTTCTGGCTGCACCACTTCTAGCTCCTTCCTTGAACCTGCCAGGACATGCCCATTCTCCTGGTTCCCTGGATCTCAAGCCCCAGTGGCTCTGGCCTATATAATCAGCAGGAGGATGGCTGGATATTGTATCCCTTAACTCCATTTGGGACTCTTTGGGGCTGCTAAGGAGCCCTCCTCTATGTTGTCTTTCTACTCCTCCCTTCCCCCCTCCAAGCCTGGATAGCAGGCTGTCTTTAAGGGTCATCTCCCATCTCCAGCTCACCCCAGCCCACCTCCTTGGGTGGCCTCAGGTCCCAGTTCAAGTCCAAAACACCAAGGGCAGAGGGGACCTGCAAAGTCCAAATCCTGCTTCCACCCAACTTTGGAAGACAGTGTGGGCTACTAGGGATGGAACCCAGGGTCCCCAGGCCAGCCCTTTGCTTGGCAGAGAGAATTTGGACAGACACTTGCCACCTGCTGCCCTCTGGGAACAGGGATTCCCACAACCACAGCCCTGGCCCAGGAGAACTGGATAACACTACCTGGGTGGTGATGGAGCTCCATCTCCCTCCCATTTCTGCCCAAGCAGAGCCAAGGTCTTGGCTGGCCCAACCCCCCAGGACATATTCCCACTTTGCCTAGCCCTGCTCCCCTCCTATGCCCAACCCTCTAGGCCTTCCCTTGCTCTGAATGGTTGGACATGTGACTCCATGGCCCTGGTTGTTTGGGCATTTGTGAGGACTTTAATTCACTGAGGGCCTGCTTGGTCAGGATGATTTGAGGGAGGGGGAGGGAGGGCTTAGTCTAATTGTGTCTCAGTTCCCCTCTCCCATCAGGCCCCCACCTCCAGTGTGGAGGCTTCTACCCATTTGGTATATACTGTGTGAGAGATGGTGGAAGGGAGTTTGAAAATACCAGACATCACAGAAATGGCTTCATGGTGCTAACCTGGCAGTGGGTGCCCTGCCCAGAAGTGCTAGGGCTGGGGTAACCCCTCAAAACCCTATAGTTCACCCTGTGGTACCCACCTCTATTTCTTGGCATAAAGCAGCTCAACTAGTGCTCCAGTATAAACCAAAATCCAAGTAACAGGTGGGGAATGTGCGGGTCAGAGTAATATGTGGAGGCTAATGGACACAGCCAGGATAGAAAAGAGGTTCCCCCCCAAAAAAAATAAAATAAAATAAAAATAAATAAATAAATTAAAAAGAAAAGAAAAGAGGTTCCTCAGCTCCTCTGGAGCTGTTCCCACTACATCATCCCAAGACCCGGCCTTTCACGCTGATCCATTCGTAAGCATTTATTGAGCGCTGACTGGGTGCCCAGTGCTGGATAGGGAGGGCCAGGGTGCCTGAGGGCCACCTCCATCCTCATGGGGTCTCTTTCAGCTGTACTCTCAGGCCCTGCTCTCTTACCAGGCCTCCAGGCTGGGGCAAGGGTCCAGAGGCAGGTCCTTGGCAAGGTGGGATCTTCCCCCAAAATACATCCTCCATAGAGCTTGGGTCCCCACACCCAGGGGAAGGCAGCATCTCCATCCTTCCTGCACCAGCCTCCTCTCTTAGGCCGAAGTGGAAGGACAGAAGGAAGAGGGTGAAGGTCCAGAAGACTTCCCAGCACCTTTGGAACCTGGATTTTTAAAGCAGGGGGGAAAGGAGAAAAATAATAGGGTATGATTCAGTGCTCCCAAAGTAGTTTCAAACTTCAGGACTGTTGGGGCTCTGGCGCCACCTGGGGGCTGCTCCTGGAATAGCATCCTTGTGATACTCCGGGCCAGGCCAGCCCAGGGTGGGACCCTGACCCGGACACAAAGCGCAATCTCTAACTCTGGCTGGCTGTGCTGCCCCCTTGCGGCCACAGGGCACCGGGGACCCCAGATTTGTTATACCCAAAATGTTACAGGAGGCTGGCCTTTCTGCCAGGATTGTGGTGAAGGCTGCTCCACCTCATCCTCCACGCCTAGGGAAGGGAGCGCTCCTGTTCCCTCCAACTTAGAACAAAAGATTCTGAGACCATCATCTCTATGTCCCCTCAGCTTCCCCCATCTGCCAGGTAGAATCTTTTGGGGGAATCGGATCTACTCATGGAGGCACACAATTCTTCTAACAAATGTTCACTGCACAGCTGCCAGGGGTGAGGATGGGGTAGTCCTGCCCAGTCTCTGCCTCTCTCTGTGTCTCTCATAAATAAAAGCTTTAAAAATAAGTAAAACCCCACAGAAGCTGAGGCCCTTCACATCTATAGTAACAACTGCTGCCATGTGAGCTCGAGCTACTCAAAGCCTGTATGCAGCCTGCCTGGTCCTTAGCCTTCTCACAGGGCTGGGAGCTAGTTAGAATGCAGGCAGAATTAGAATCCACATTTGATGAGACAGGAGTGACCCCATGTGGTGGGCCAAGCAGTGTGGGGAGAGCCATTTTATTTTATTTTATTTTGCTTTATTTAAGATTTATTTATTCATGAGAGACCCAGAGAGGCAGACACAGGCAGAGGGAGAAGCAGGCTCCATGCAGGGAGCCCAATGTGGAACTCGATCCCAGGTCTCCAGGATCAGGCTCTGGGCTGAAGGCAGGAGCCAAACCTCTGAGCCACCTGGGTTGCCCAGGGAGAGCCATTTTAGACCTCAGGGAGGCTTCGGCTAAAGATCTCTAAGTTTTCACCCCAGGTGCCCTCCTGAGCTGATCCACACACCGCAAACTCACCATGTTCCTCCTCCATCCTGTTCCTCTCCATCCTGAGTGCCAAGACTCTCTCCCTCCTTGCTGCCAAGGCCACTTCTGGCTGGAGGACTAGTGCACTGCCTTCCAACACTCATATCTGTCCCCACAGTCAGTCAGGCTTGATCTAACACACTTTAACACACAGACTTGGTCTTGCCCCTTCTGTGGCTCTCTAGTACCCAAGTCCAAGACCTATAGGCCCTTCCACTGTCCCACAAATATCTGACACCTCCTTCTCTACTACATATATGCACACACATATTATCCCAGATACACTGCACTTCACTAAGTTCCTGAATGAGCCCTAGTGCCTGGGCCATACTTCTAGCACTCCATCAAACTGAATTAGATTCCCAGAAGTCACTTCCTCCAGGAAGCCCTCCTGGACCCCTTCATCTGGATCAGGTGCTTGCCACAGACTCCCTCATTCAGCACTCATCACACTGTTTTAATTGCCGTTCTCCCTTCTACCTTTTTCCATTGCTGGTACAGCCCAGTGCTTGGCACAAAACAGTCATACATGCTACTTGGCAAATGAGGGAACAAAGGAGGAGCGTGAGGAACCTGGGGTTCAGAGAGACTGAGAACTTTTCTCAGGCTACACAGCTCCTAAGTGCCAAACAGGACTGGAGCCCCTGCCGTACCTAACTGCAGATCCCGTCACTAGTCCCCGCACTTTCTCTGTGGGCCCAGAGAGGTCCCCTGCCCAAGGCCACAAATTAATCCCAGCCCCACTTTATTCACACCGGGCAACCCTTGTAGAATATCCTTCTAAATTTTCCACCCTATCTCCCCACCCCCAACCCTCTAAAGTGGGCACTGGGGTTAATCCCATTTCACAAGGGCCCTGAGGGCTGAGCCATAAGCCTAGGGTAGCCCCCCCCCATAGCGGGTCCCCCCAGCCACCTGTGCAGGCTGCTGCTCCTCCTGCTGCTGCTGCTCCCGCTGCTCCTGTTCCTGCTCCTCCACGGCGATGCCCTGAGTCCTGCATCCTTGCCTTGTCAGGCCGGGACACTCTCTTGCCAGCGGAGTTGCGGGTGGTGTAGCTGTAGACAGAGGTGTAGCCCTGGCCAGTGAGCGGGCAGAAACGGCGAGTGTGGGCACGCTCGCGCGTGGCACCGCACTGGGGGCACACGTAGTCACGAAGGATGGGACACAGCACCCGGCCCGCCTCATCCTTGAGCACATGGGACTGGTAGATGGCCCGAGACTCGCCGTTGTGTTTGCAGAAAGAGCACAGGCGTTCAGGAGCTGGTGAAGATTCCGGGCTGGGCCTCTGACCCCCTGGTCCTGGAGCTGGCTGTGGCTGGGGGTCCAGCCTGGTTTCGGACTCCTCTTCCCCACGCAGCGCCCCCACCAGGCGTGCCAAACCCAGGTAATCTGTCCACAGGTCGAAGGTTCCCATAGCTGGGCAGTGTATGCCAGGCAGAGAAGCAGAGAGAATAACCCTGCCTGCCCAAAGCTCGTCTTTCTACCCCTTCCCTCTCTGTCCCTCCCTCCCTTCCCCTCTCTGGAGCCTAGGAGTCTAGGCTGTCAGTTCTCTCCTTATACCTCCAAGGGGGTGTGAAGGGAGGAGCAGGCTGTGGGAGGTTTCTTATTGTCACAGGGGGGCTTGCTGCCTCTCCCCCATAAATGCACCTGCGGGGGGGAGGGGGGTTGCATGGTCTGTGGGTGGGCTGGGGCCAATGGGGGGGTGAAAGGGCACAGGCTGCAGGGGGCACCCACAACTGGGAGGCATCCCCCCAGAGGGCATTGGGAGGGCTACCCCCGCCTACCCCTCCTTGGAAGAGGTCTGGGAGGCTTGCCACTCCTGCCCCACAGGGTGATGGGTGGGGGTGTGGAAGCCCCGCCCCAAAGACTAGTATTGATCTACTCAGTAATTTAGTAACTTCTTTCTTCCTTCCCTTGGCCTGGGGGAGGAGTCAGGTGCCCCTGGGCTCTTTGGGGGAATGGGTGAGCTGCTGATGCTCCAGTAGTCTCTGGAAAGGGGGATGGTGCCTGGCTCATGGGGTTCGGGAAGGGACATGGATTAAGGCTCCTAGCTCAGGTCTCCCTCAGGGAGCTTTCACACCCATTATCTCAGTGGAACCCCCATTTAATGGATGAACTCACCAGGTAGAAGGCCTCCTACCCATACTTACCCACAAACACAAAAGCCTGTCTCCCCCACCCAGTTACTGTAGCTCTCAAGGCTAGGTGCTGACCTGACTGTGTGTAGGGGGGAACGACAGGAGGTGAGACAAAGCATTATGGGGAGAGCAGAGGTACAGGTTAGGCTAATGGGGGGTACCCCCAGCACTCAGCAGTGCCTCAATCCCATCCCCTCAAATGAAACCTCCAGGAGTTACCCAGGTGGGGCAGAGACTGGCAGATGGAGGATCAGCCCGCACCAAGGCGCTGAGTGGGCAGTCGAGGGTAAAGCAGGGGTCTGCGGGTGCTGGGCAAGAAGAGGGAGAAAAGCTGGGCCCAGGACTTGGACATGGAGAAGAGGAGCTATGCTGACTGCCCACCCCATTCATTCATTCATTCATTCAAGAAACCTTTACTAAGCCCTCTGGGAACAGGGATCACCATTTCCTCGGAAAGGTTTTTCAGGTGCCCAGCCCTGAGCCAGTGATCTGTACCCCCAAGTCCTCCCTGCCACCCAAGGATTTATTCCCCAAATCAGGCGCCTGTGCATCAGGATCCCAGATGCCAGCTCTCCCCAAGGGGTGAGAGGCTGAGGTCAGGCATTGTGTGAGTGGGTCTTGTCCCCTAGCCGATTCCCCTCAGGCTGTGTCTGGCCCAGCCACAGTGACATTCATCCCTCGGTGGGTCTGGCCTCCGTCCTCACAACCCACCGACAACAATGAATGTTGATTGTGACCTTCGCTGCGGCCTAATGGAGAGGACGCTCAGGTCGGATCTGGGAGATACCCTGGCCCCAGATCTGGAACGTAGGGGTCCTGACGGGTGGATGGCAGTTCCAGGCCTCGGGGTCCACTCAACGGTCGATGGTTTGCCTGAGCTGCCCAAACTCACCGACAGGTTGAATGTTCCCCCAAACCCTTGGCAACTTCTCCAGGGGCCAGGACTGGGGGTGGGGTGGGGGTAGGGGGCAGAAAACACAGATATCCTGGGGGAGGAGAGAGAAGGGAGGGGGGAGGGCCCTATTGACTCAGTAAGTCAGCAAACAGGACCTGTCTGCTCCAGGACCTGGAAAAAGCACAAGATAAATATAAATAATAATAATAACTGCAGATATTTATGTAGCCTTTGCTACACAGATGTAGACCAGTACTGGGCGCTGGGCTTGCTTCTTGTCACATTTGCTCAAGTCCTCTTCAAAAGGGCCCTAGAAGGTGCAGATTACTCCGATTTGTCAGTTTGGGAGTCCAGGCCAAAGGGCACGCTAGAGAGAGACAGAGGAGGGATTCCTCGTGGCCCCAAGGCTGCCAGGGGGTTATTGCCCCCAGGGACACTGATGCAACAAAGAGATAAACAAGTCATTTTAATACAATGTAATACCTTCCGTGAGCTTCACCGTGTTCCTGGCAGGATTGTTTATGAATCACAACAACCCCGGGGGTTGTTCTCCTTTGCAAATGCGGGGCCAGCTGTGGGGCCATGGCCAGGTCCACTCGCCCAAGGAGGGTGAGAGTCCAAAGGACTAGAGGGGGCACGCCCTGGCTGCCGGAGCGCCTCAAGACTTCTGAATTCAGGCCCTTCTGAGGTGAGTGCCCCCGCACACGCGGGGCTGCCCCCTTGATGTGGGGGTGCAGAGTCGCTCACCTTGGGGCTTCAAAACAGGCAGCGGTCAAAACCCTGCTCCAACTCCGACTATGCCAAGATACTGCCCCTCCCCATTCCCTTACCTGTAAAACGGGGGGGGGGGGCGCCCAGTCCGTCCTCCTAGGGCCCGCCGATTTGGACGCCCGTCCTCTGGACTCCGCTCCCCCGCCCCTACGCAGTCTCAGGATAAGGCCGCCCCCAACTTGGGCCTGGGGACCTCCGGGACTGCCTGGGGAGGGGCTTTCGCATTTCCAGTCCCTTTCCACTTCACTGAGGAATATCAAGCCCTAGAGGAACCCCCTGGGGTAACCCCAAAGCGGATCAGGCATCCCAAGCGTGCTGAGCTTAAGTGAACCCCAGAACCCCCCCTGGCGGCGGCGGACTGAACCAGCACAACTCTCCAGGCCTGGTCCACGAGACCCGCCCTTCGCAAGCCACTGACCCAGGCCCCTCCTTAAAACCTGCCCCTGAACCCGCACCCACAGGTGGCCCGCTCTGAGGACCCTCCTCTGAAGCCCGCCCCGAAACTCAACCCTTATAAAACCGCCCTCTGAGCCCATCTTCCAAAAGCCCAGCTCCCCTAAAGCCTGCCCCAGGCCTTAGGAGTCCCCCAGAACACTAGGCCCCGCCCCTCAGGACCCGGCTCTAAAGCTAGCCTGCCCAGACCCCCCACCAGACCCACGTCCCTACAGAGGCCCCAGAGCCACTCCCATGAAGCCCAAGCCCCCTAAGGTCAGCTACGACAGGACCTGTCCCCAAGTCGGAACCCCTGGAGCCGGACCTCTGAAAACACTTGCCCCCCTGTGGAATTCCCCTAGCTCAAGCCCCTTCCCTAGAGCCCTCTCTTCCCCTGGGCAGGGGTCCAGCCAGGTTCCCACACTTCCCCAGAGTTCAGGGTGGGCAGCGCTCCCCCATCGACCATCAACCCTGCCAAAGGACCCCATTCAGGGATGGGGTGAGGGTTCCCCTTTGCCAGGCTTAGGAGATGTAGGTCCTTCTAAGGGAGCATGTGGGGTCTCCTGCCTTGAAGATCAAAGTCCTAAAGAGCAGAATGCCTAGAACTCTTGGGGAGAAGGGAGATTTGGGAGGGCAGGGTTATAATAATAATGCTTTACATACATCCCTCTATTATCAGGACACCCATGTAATCGATGAGGATAGTGAGGCTCTGAGAGTTTGGAACAGAACTCACCCAGGTTCCTCAAAAGCTTTGCTTGTGATGACTGTGGAGCTAGAATGAGGGGTCATCAGGCATGAGGTACTGGCCACATTGGTGGGGGACTCCTCCAGATACACTTTTCCTCCTGCGCCTCTTCTCTGTCTTGCTTCCTTGAGGGCTCTGACCTTGACCTCAAGACAAGGGAAGGGCCATCAGAGGGTGCCTGGTCTGGAGGGTCAGGACTAGGACAGGAAGGGGAGGTTTCCAGCTGAAGGACGGGGTGGGAGGAAACCTATGGCATAGGGGCTGCCTGCAGCCTGCCCTGGGTCTGCCAGTCTCCCGTTGTCTGTGGCGGTCGGTGCAGGCTCCTGCCCTTGCCCTTGGTGTCTGTCTGGGTCTGACTGTCCCTCATGGCAGTATTTGTCTGGGTCTCCGGCTCTGAGTGTGCTCCTGTTTCTGGCTGTCTGGGTCTGCCTTCGTGTGTCTGCCTCTTTACACCTGATATGTGTCTGTAGCCTGTCCCCTCCATGTCTAGGGCTGGCCCTTGGCGAGGGGTGGCCTCTGCTCTGTCGGCATCTCACTGTCCAGACTTGGGGCCCTTGGGGAGGTGGGAGGGGGATGCTGACCGTTCTTCCCATCGAGCATCCTACTCGCCTTCTGGAGTGCCAACTGGGCTTCCATCTGACTTTGAAGCCCAGCACAGTGGAGATGAGGAGCCATCTCCTCCTACCCCCAACCCCAGGCCTTGGTGCAAGGAAGGGGCACTCTTCAGAGCCTTTTAGGCCTAGTCTGCCTCTTCCTGGTCCTTAGTCCTGGCACAGCCCCCCTTCCCCCCGCCCCCCCACATACACACTCTGTCACATCCCAGCTGAGAGGATTTGTCTAGGCAGGGGGTTGGGAGTGATGGGGTAAGGGGAGCCATCCAGAAGCCACACTGACCCACCCCACCCCACCCCCACCCTCATCCTGAGCTCCAGGAAGGCAAGGCAGCTGGCATGGGGTCAGAGCTGGAGGCGAGAGGTCCCAGTGGAGCCAGATGGGGAGACGATGGATGGAGGCAGCTCTGCTGTCAAGTTGAAGAACAGGGGGCAGGGGCATGAGGTGAGAGACACAGAGCTTCCAGAGGGTGTCTGGCAGCCTGGGTGTCCCTGTATATATGTCCATGCATGTGTTCCTGCTGGCATGCCCCTGTATATGTGTCTCCGTATGTGTGTGTCCCCTTGTGTGTGCCCTTGTGTGTGTGGACAGACGGGGGGGGCGGCATGCAGGAGGAGCTGGTCAGGGCCTGGCAGATAAAGAGACCATTATGGAGTGAGCAGCAGAAGTGCACTTGGGGGTCCCCAAGTGGGGTCCCATTGATGGTCCAGGCTGTGTAGGGGAGGGGGTTCCTCATTCCCCTGATACTTCCATGGCCTCTCAGGTTCCTACCTGCCCTCCCCTTGTGATCTTCCTGGCTTCCTCTCCAGCTGCCTGGCCTTTCAGGTGGGGTCTTCAGCCAAAGGATTCATCTGTCCCACCAAGACCTGGGGGCCCCCAGTGGGCCGGGAGCCTGAGCTTCTGTCCCAGGACCGCCAGCCATGGGGCCAGGGGTGGGGGAGGCAAGAAGTCTCTGGCTTCTCTAGGGCTTGGGTTGGGGCTTGTGGAGAGGCCTAGGGCAGGTTGATGGGAAATTCAGACATTTCTGCTGAGGTTCATGGTGCAAGGT